CAGGCTGGCCTCAAGCTTGATATGTTGAAATATGATAAGTTGAAAATGAACGTGGCCTTCTGATCCTCCTGCTTTGGCCACCTGACTATCAAGATTACAGTAATGCGTCAAAACTCCTGGTTTACATAGTGCTAGTGGTCAAATCCAAGACTGTGCGCAGTCTAGGCAGGCACTGTACCAAGTGAACTACACCTCTGATTCCTTACTTGTGTGTAATTTTATTGGTCCCATCTCTTTCTTTGTCTGGACTTTTACTCTGGATCTTAGTTTATTCATTTACGGAAGTGAGGAAATAATTGTTCCTATATTGCAAACTTGTTGAGAGAAACAAATACAATGAAAAAGTTTAATCTTCATATATGATAATATTAAACTATTATAACCTTATAACAACAGCGATTGTTTCTATTATTCATGATGCTGGAGGTTGGGGAGTCCAGGATGAAGTTGCAAGTAGAGCCAGTAGCTGGTGACTACGTGATCACAGTGTCCACATATGGTGGAAAGGGCAAAGCAGCTGTTTGGGGTCCTTTTATTTATTCATTTTTAAATTTATTTTTATTCTATGTGTGTGAGTTTTTTGCCTGTATGTATATCTTTGCACCATGCATGTGCCTGATACCAGTGGAGGATATCAGGTGTCATGTCCCCTGGATATGAAGTTATAGGTAGTTGTGAGCTGCCATGTGGGTACTGTAAATGAAACTCTGGTCCTCTGGAGAGCAGCAAGTGCTCTTAACCGGCTACTAATCCCATTCATGAGGGATTTATGCTTGCTCATGGCTTACTAACTTCCCAATGTTCCCACTTCCAAATCGTACCACCCCAAAAGATTACCTTTCCATGTATGAACTTGGGCGGCATAAGCACTTACATCATTGCCATATGTGTTTACTCTCTAGGCATCATGCCAGGCAGATGGCAGAGGCCCAACACATCAGTGATCACAGTTACATGATTAGTGAAGGAGTGAGTAGAGTGTCTGCCTAGCATGCATCAAGTCCTGGGCCAATGCCCGTAATCCCAATGCTATTGATGCGGAAGCAGGAACATCATAAGTTGAAAGGTGATTCCTGGCTAAAGGGAGTTTGTGGTCTAGCCTAGACTCTATGAGACTATGCCCAAAACAGGGAGAGTATTAGTGAGGCAATAAAGAATGCAACAGGGAGTTGGAGGAGTGTCTTCTAATGTGCCTCTTTGCCTTACATATTGAAACGGAGAGTGACACAGCATGGATCTATTTGTAAAGTCATAGAAATAGTAACTTCTGCACAATTTACACTGGCAGATCCCCAAGGTTTCAGAATTCACAACTGGTGTTTAGAGGATGGAAAATAGGTTTTGATGTTATTGTGGATTTGCAGAATGGAAAAATATTGGAAAACGTGTAGCAACTAAATCGTGTTTCATCTGCTGATGTTGGAATGGAGTTTGTCTGGCTGTAAGTGAGTGTTCAAGGAAACTCTAATGAGGTTTCGTGCCTGTCTTTGCTATTGCTTACCCACAGTAGACTTTCTGTTGCTTGTAAACTTGAGCCACATTCATCCAATTACTGGAGTGATATCTTGGGATTTCCTAGCAATAATTCAAATTCATTTGTCCATTTCTGAGTCATAGAAATGGTAAAATGAATGGAGGGTGGTAGTTTTTCTGTTTATCACAGATCTAAATGAACTAAGTGACTTATTTCTGAACCAAAAATAAAGCAAGGAATAAAGCAAGTTCAGCTAATCCGAATCATATACCAGACTCTAAAGAGGCTAGTGATGACATCATCACAACTGTGTCATGATTTGACCTTAACTTTAAAAAGCACTTTAGACAGTTACATACTTTACATTTCCATAGGCCCCAGGGCTTGCAGATCAGAGAGAGGGATTCGTTCTCCATTTCATGACATTAGGGTAAGGTGTGGTTGCTCAATCCTGTAATCCCAACACTTGGGAGGCAGAGACTGCATACAGTGTATTCCAGGCCAGCAGAGCTATATAGCTCTCTGTGGAAAACAATCCAAAGAAAACAAATAAAAACTAACAACAAAAAGTGGCGTTCCTTCCATCTCAGTGGCCTAGGTAGCACCCCACTTGTCCTTGGTTTTCTTATCCCACTCTGCCTTAAGGGACTCTCCCCTACTTTTACTCAGTTGGGCACCAGTGCACTTGGTCTTTCTAGACATCCTCATCTGTAAATTTGATCTCATACTTCCCCTTTGCATTATGGTCTAAATGACAGACAAATGGAAGTGATGTCCTCTCTCCCAATATTTCCTTCTCTTATAGGATATCCAGGTCAAGTGCATGGAAGAACGATCTAGAGTAAAACTTCCAATACTCAATTTGGAGAGAATGAGGATGTGGTTCAATTGGTGAAGTACTTGCCCAACATATTAACAGGGCATGGTGGGACACGCCTCTAACCCCAACACCTGAGAGGTAGCAACAGGAAGCTCAAAATTTCAAGGTCCTCCTTGACTGCAAAGGACATTCTAGACCAGTCTGTGCTACATGCAACCCTGCCTTTAAAAACATCATCTTAGAGCGTAGGAATGAATGGTGTAGTAAAGACTGTCCTTAGGTGTGTTTGGTTCCCCGCATTCTCTGAAACAATAATCCTTGTGCCTGTTTTTCCACTGGTCTCTAAAGGCGTCCTGTAATGTCTTCCTGTACAGTTCCTGCTGCTACAGAATAGGCTAGCTGTGAGAACGGCATCTGTGGAGAATCTCAAGTATATTTGGGTTTTCTCAAAAAGGAACTGGGTGCAGTCCAGGCAACTTCCTCATTTGAACAGTGACTCTCGTTGATGCATGTTTTATTTTATGATCAGTTCATATGTTCTAAAACTCAGTCAAGTAGCAGGCTATTTTAAGAATCCAGTGCTGCCATTTGCAAGCAATCAACCCGGGTAAGAAACAACCACACAAGTAAAACAAGGGAGCTATTTTCATCACAGAATTTACTCTGGTGTGTCTATCTCCTATAGCATTTGTCTTTGTTGTAGAGACCATCCACTTTTTCCCATATCTATGTCACACACACACACGCGCACACACACACGCACACGTGCACACATGCCCAAAAGCGGTCCCACTGGAGATTATAGGCTGAAAGCACATGAACTTCACAAACAGCCTTAGTTAGCGGTGATGGGTCACATAGCCAAAGAAGACGTACACACAGGGAAGAGACTTGTGGGACTGGGTGTGGGAGACGCGAGGCTGAGAGGGACAGTGACCTGAATGCACTATCTAAGTCTGGGAAACTGTAAAAAAATGACACATCAACACAAAGGAAACAACAAGGGACTCTGCCTGGTGACCATTTTGACACAGATGTCATGAACACTTTCCCAGGGGAGACAGATTAAGTCTGGTGTCCTCTGCACTTAGGGATGTTCTCGCCACCACCTATTGCACGCTGTTCACCTTGGCTTTGGCCAACTGAAATAGAACTCCTGTCAGTTTATTCCTGAAAAGTGCATTTTTAACATTTGGGAAGTAATGCCATTTAACTCCGCACGAATATTAATGGCACCCTTTTATTAAAAGTCTATCTCTCTCTCTCTCTCTCTCTCTCTCTCTCTCTCTCTCTCCCTCTCTCTCTCTCTCTCTCTGTGTGTGTGTGTGTGTGTGTGTGTACGGTCCCATGCCCATTCCACAGTATGATTATAGGGGCCAGAGGACAATTTAAGGAGTTGACTTTTTACTTCCACATGTGAATTCTGGGACGCTAACTCAGGTTGCGAGATTTACTATGTAGACTAGGCTGGCCTTGAACTTTTGGTGATCCTCCTGTTTCAACTTGCTGAGTGTTGGGATTGCTAGTGTGAGTCACCATGCCTGGTTTACATCTACACTATTGACTGACTAGATTGTTTCTGTTCTCGGTAACACTAACTAGCCTCAATATACATATCAGAGATTATAAAAAGCCTTAGCCCATCTTAATGTGGGGAATGTGTTTTAAAACCAACATTTTATACTGCATTTAAAACAATTGGGATGGTGAAATGGCTCAATGGTTAAAGGCACTTGTCTGACAACCACAGTTGATTCACCAGGATGAACATGGTAGGAGAGAATCAATTCCCAAAAGTTTTCCTCTGACACATACACATAAATGTACAAAAAACACATCAGCAGGTAATTGATACTTTCAATAGGAACAGTAACCTCTCAGAATGGAGGCAAAATATGACAATGTGGATTTTTGTTTTTAGGCAGGTCTCACTCTAGCTCAGGCTAACTTGGAACTTACTCTGTAGCCCAGGCTGGCCTGAAATTCACGACAATCCTCCTGCCTCAGCCTGACATGTGTGACAACTACAGATGTGGCCCATCATGCCTGGCCAAAGTGTCAGAAAGGCCTGATGTCATAGCTGGAAAAGTCACCCAAAGCCAGGAAGAACTCACAAGCTCAGGCAGATGGACAGTTCAGACCTCTCAGATGAGAAAACAGGAAGTGAGGCTGCACAGCCAAATGCAGGTTGGGACAGAAGTTCTGCAATGTGGCATTGGGCTCCTAAGCAGTCGGGCAGTGCCAGAGAGGAAGGGGAGGAGAGACGGGGACTTGTGACAGTGCCGCCAGTGACGACATTGAATAAAAGGTAAAGCAGAAAGCCTCATCTCCTTCCTGTAGACTCCTGGGGCCATTGCAGAAGTGTTGGGCAGTAAGTGGAGCCTATGCACACCAGCTTCCCATAACTGGCTGAGGAGCTTCTCGTGTTCAGATCAGGAGAGTGAGGCTGAGTATGTGCTGTAGATTTCCTGGTAGGCTCTGCCTTCTTGGCTTGTCTTTCATATCCCAATACTGTCTTGTTCTGACTCACTGATAGCTGCCACATGCCACTTGGCAACTCAGCCACTGCTCTAGTTTCTCTAGAAGGTAGGCAGAAGTTTGCATTTTGTCTTGGATATAGTACTGGAGGAAGGGGCCTTTTGAAAGTTTCATTGGTTGAGTTGATTGCTTACAACATGTTACATTTTCAAATTTCCTTTCTAATAGGTATTTGAGCCTGATGACCTTTATTCAGGGGTCAATTTCTCCAAGGTTCTGAGTACACTTTTAGCTGTCAACAAAGCAACAGAAGGTAAGGCATGTTGGTGATTTATGATTTATGTTTCTAGAAGCTAACTGTGGCCACAGTTGTTCAAATGGTGCAAATTTCTTCCCTTCCCCAAATAAATCCAAACACATATAAAGTACTTTCATTTTAACAACTGAAATGTACGTACCACAGAATAACAAGAAAAAATACATACCTATCAAGCCTACCAATCACATTCTAATATCCTTAGCACAACAATAAGAACCAAAAGTGATTTCATGCAAAGCTTTTGGATTAGCAATGGACTATAACAAGACAGAAAACAAAAAGGGAAAGACTAGTTCCTCCTTTAAAAAAATAACCTTTACAAAATACAACTGTCACTTCCCTTTCTCCAGCAAAGAGATTTTTTTTCTAGTTTTCCATCAGTCATGAAAAAGAGTTTTCATTAGCTTTGCACTGTGAATGAAACCTCGGATAACCCATGAATGAAAGAGTAGCTTATTTAAACATTTCATATCCACGGTATTGAAGATTATTAAGTATGATCAAAGTAAAGGGAGCACTGATAAGACTACACTAGAAGCCCCTTTCTTGTCTGTCATCATGTCTTAATTCTATCGGTAGTGGCCATCGAGAGTTCACATGCTCTGTGCCCTCTCTGTGGCTCTAGGCTGTCTCAATAGCTCCAAGTGATCTCAGTGAATCTTTGAAATACCATTGGGAATATGGTGATGGTGAAGTCCATGTTATAGATGAGGAATGTGAGGCCCACAGCTACCCAAGTAGAAAAAAAAAAAAAAAAAGATGACTAAGCTAGGATTCAAACCCACACATGAGTGTTCAGAGCCCTTATGCCGAACATGAATCCTGATGTGGTTTAAGAGCCAAAAGACTGTGCCCACCCAGCACTGCCAGGTGCCATAGAGGAAGTAGAAGATATGGCCCTACCCTTGGGAAAATTACCATCTATTTATGGAGACTCAACTTGTCCACGTGAAACAATTAGGGAACGAGAGCAGACAATATAATCAAGTGCCAAGTAGGATGGGGCATCTGGTAAGCTATCAAGTAATTATAGTTTTATCCCAAAAAGCTGCAGATAATAGCAAGATGTGGAAAAATACTTCTCCGAAGTTGTTCTTTTGCTATTTGGGAAAAAAAATGTTTTTGAGCTATTGCGAGGCGTATAGCAGAGAGTACAGCTAATTCAAGTAGCTATATTTAACGCACATGACAAGTATCCAGTTCTGGGAAGGGATGATGGTATAATTCTAACATTATGCCACACAAATTATACGTTCCTTTGCCAAACTCTTCTAGCAAGTTTTACAGTCTCTTCACTTACCACAGATATTTATAAAAATACAAGGAGGTGAAAGTTAAAACCCACAGCCTCAAGGAAATTACTTGGATACTGAGCCTGTCGCCTAGGGAATGTTTGGGTGTTAGACTTTTGCAGTTTATATCTTTTAAAACTAAGTGGAGAGGAAAAGGAACCTCATTTGAATTTGTCAAGAAGCCAGCCTCTCCCTTGAATACACGCTCAGCATACTGAAAACACCCAGCTCAGCTCTGGCCCGATCGAATTTCACGAAGAATCACGCGAGAGAAGGCTCCCGTGTTTGATTTTACAAAGCCATTCTAGTGTCAAGATTGCATCTGTCTCAAATACGCTCTTCTCCCTCATTCTGATTTTGCACCCCGCCCCCAACCCACCAAAGAGACTTGATGTTATGTGTGCCACGCATATTTTTACATGTAAGCAAAGAACCCTTAAGTTATGGGCCAGCAAACAAAGAAAGAAATCCGAAACATTTCAAAAGTAATAAGAGCCACAAACAGCTGTTTGGTACCCGATATAGGTCTGCCTTGGATAACAGGGCATACTGTGGCAACTGGTTCAGGACGGAATAGTTGTATGGAAATGGGTTAGGAGAAAATGTGGTTCTGTCGCTGTTTTTCATTATACTGGACAGCAATGGCCAGTAAGGTTAAGAAGAAAAAAGTTGGCCATTGGAAAGAAAAAAGGGAGGGGGAGCCTGAAACATACAGCTTGTTCAGAATGACAGAGGTCCCAGGAGTGGCTAGGATGGCTTTGATAATGTCCTGGGCAGGAGCTTCTCGAGTTGTAGGTGGGTTACTGCTGTGAGTGGTTCTTTACCGTGTCTTTTCCTCTTTTCACAGATCAGCTATCAGAAAGACCATGTGGACGGTCCTCTTCTCTTAGCACAACCAACAGCTCTCCGACAAACCCACAGGCAGCCGTTCCCAGCACAACTCCGGCGCAGCAAAGCCAGGCAAAGGCAGTGGTAAGTAGAGTCCCCATTCCCTAACCCCTGTTTTAAAATCTGTCAGATCAGGTCAGCGCTCCAGATGTAGTTCCACATATGGTGAGGTGGAGATTCCATTTGTTTGGTGTGTCACCAGACAAATGAGGTACAGAGTGAATATCAGTTCAAGCTGGAATGCTGGCCTAAAGCGGGTAGGTGGGGCCTGGCCTCAGAAACTCAGCAGTGAAGCCCCAGCTCTGTTTACTAGAATTCAGCTAGTCACTTAATTGGAAATGCTATGCAAATGTCAGTCATTATAACTGCTCCTGATGGCACTTTGCTGTTACTTTCCCTACCCCATGAGCTTATTAGAATGAGTTATTACCTGGCACTCACAAGCAACCAATAAATACTCATTATTGTTCTGGTCTTGGTTGCAATCCTTTTTCCTTTGAACTCCTATTGAGCAAGAACTAAATGTAGCTGGATGTGGTGAAACAAACCTGTATTCCCAGCACTCTGGAAGCTGAGGCAGGAGCATCACTAGTTTGAGCTTAACCTGGGCAACATAGTACACTCAAGACCACGGACTCAAAAGAAGACCCACTTTTAAATATCAGCCCATGACAAATTTCTATATTGGATCTCTTAATTGTCTTTGCATTTGGTCTTAGAAGCTTTGATTTGGGAGAAAATGCTATTTTCTGTTCTTTCACTGGATCACCTAGTTGTCTTTGCATTTGGTCTTAGAAGCTTTGATTTGGGAAGAAATGCTATTTTGTGTTCTTTCACTCCTGTCAAAAGCGACTGCTTTACTGTAGGACACCATAACTTGTTATGGCCAGAGCATCTAAACCAATGTTTCTTATTCTTTTGGATATCACTTCCTCCTCCTTTTGAGATAGGCTCTCACATAACCCAGCTTGGTATAGAACTTGCTATGTCTTGGAGGTAGAATGACCTTGAACTTCAGCTCCTCCTCCCTCTACCTCCCAAGTGCTAGGATTACAAGTGTGTATGATCATACTTAGGTTATATAATTCTGAGGATTGAAACGGGGCTCCTAGATAAATAATCTACCAACTAAGTTACAGCCTGGCTCCCCAAACTTTGAGAAGCCAATGAATGCTTCGGTGCCATATTCTTTGGCCCCTCCTTTAAGTTGCATATAAAAGCTTATATGGATAAACTAATATGAATAAGGAAAATTACATTGAGCTCATCAAATTTTCGTAAGGACCTGTGCTTCTCAGAAGTTAAGCTCCAAACTACTTATTTATATAATTGTGGGTGTTTAGAGGCAGTCTCGCGTACCTCTGACTGACCTTGAACTCAATAAGTAGCTGAGGATAACCTTGAACTCCCAACCTTCCTCCCCTAAGTGCTAGGATCGCAGATGAGTATTTTGCCTTACCCAGCCTACTAAGTTACAGGCCAGTTCCCCCAACAGATCCCTTGGAGAAGCTGATGAATGCTATGGCAATCTTACGACTGAAAGCTAGCCTACTTCAGATTTGCTAGTAACTGAGAGTCGGGAGTGAGTTTTACAAGGGTAGGTTAGTAGCTAGCGTTAACCATTTTACATCAGAGAGAAGCAGAATGGAATGCTATATGAGTGTGCTTCAGTGGCTGCTTCAGCTAAGCAGCCACTTCGAAAACCGGTAAAAGAAAAGGGAACTGAAAGTTGTGACTCCCTCGAAAATATGCATTCTGAAAAAATGCAAGCTTTATTTTAAATTTTTCTCATTATTATTATTATTATTGCTGTTGTTGTGTGCATGCGCTGTCTGTATATGAATGCAGATCATGTGAGGATCAGGAAAGAATGTTTAAGAGTCAGTTCCTTCTTTTCTTCCACCATGGGCTCCCAGGGTGGCCATCATTTTGCATGGCCCTGCAGACACTTGTGTATGGATTTGACGGGGTAATTAATCTCCCCTGAGACATATTGAGAGGCTCCTAATCTCAACACTGATGCTAAACTAGGCATGGTATCATATACCTGCAATCGCAGCTCTTGGGAAGCTGAAAGGCAGGAAGATTGCTGTGAGTTCTGCCCAAACTACATAGTGAATTTCACACCTGCCTGAGCTAATATGAGACATTGTCCTAAAAATGAATAAACAAACAAACAAACTAAGATGGTCCTTGGGTTTTTATTTTTTTTTAATTAAAAAAAAATATGGCTTTGTGTGTTTTGCCTGCATGCATGTCTGTGTACCACTGCAAAAGTGTTCAAGAAGGCCAGAAAAGGGTAACAAATTCTCTGGAACTGGAGTTGCTGGTGGTTGTGAGCTGCCATGTGGGTGCTGGGAACTGAACCCAGTTTCTCTGTAAGAGAAACTCTTAACTGCTGAGCCATTTCCCCAGATACCTGGGGTTACAACAAGCCTTGGTAGCAACACTGTGCTTACATCCACAGAATTTCTACCCATGCCTCAATTAGATGACAACTTAATCTGGTGTGGCGTTTGTTTCCCTAGGAGATGACGGAAAATGGAAGTCACCAGTTGATAGTAAAAGCAAGATTCAACTTCAAGCAGACAAATGAAGACGAATTGTCAGTTTGTAAGGGGGACATCATTTATGTCACTCGAGTTGAAGAAGGAGGCTGGTGGGAAGGCACATTAAATGGGAGAACAGGATGGTTCCCTAGCAATTATGTTCGAGAAATTAAACCCAGTGGTGAGTATAAGTTTTTTAAGTCTTCTTACATGTGACACTTATTCCTTCCTGGTGTTCTTATTGAAAGTATCTTATTTTAAATTGTTTAACATGAACAGTTGATATATGTATATGCCTGTCCAAATTAAGACTAGGGCAGAACTGGGAATGGTTACATTTGGTAAAACAAAGTTGTATTTAGATTATGTGAAAGCCAAATAAGCAAAGAAATCCAAGGTTCGAACAACTGTTGTACTGCAAGTACGTGCTTTTTCTGTCCCCTGATTCTAGCTCAGAGTACACAGTGCAGAGTCCTTCCTGCTCCTCTGAGAATCACCATGGCAGAATACAATAACAAGAGAAGCTGAGAGCTAGCTTCCCTTTTTAGCTCTACACCCTTTAAGCAGACCTAAGGCTTATTGCTTTAGAGATGTGGGAAAGAGATAACAGAAAGCTGCCTGGCCATGTTAGGAGCAAGATTGTCCTTAGTTCATTGCACACCATGAGCTGCTTTCCCTTTTCTGAATAATATATACACGATAGAGTTTAATTGCTCTTTAGAGGTCTTTTTTAGAGTTTTTTTTTTGTAACTTATTTGTCTTTAAATAAGAAGGCAGATTTCTGTAATGCTCAAGAGAAATTAGCAGAGCATCATGGTGTACGTCTCTAATCCTAGCCCTGGGGAAACGGAGACAAGTGGATTAAGAGTTTAAGATCATCTTTACCTGTAAAAGAATATCTAGGCTAGCTTGGGCTACATCAGAGCTTGTCTCAAATAAACTGAACAACAACAAAATTTGATCAAACCCTTCCACAACCAGTTTTTGGAAGAATATGGTATTACAGATAAAACTGCTGTTATTATATCTCTTCATTTTTCAAAAAATATTTACCCAAGGACTCCTTTCAATAGCTTGATTCTCAGTGTATTATCTCTTTTGTAGATGTCTTCTTTGTTTTTAATTTTAATGCTTCATAATTGATGGGGCCAGTGAATGGCTCAGTGAATAAAGATGCTTCCTGCCAAACCTGACATTGGTTTGATCCCTAGCACACAAGCTAGAAGAATAGAACCAACTCCCAAATGTTGTTCTCTGCCCCCCATATGTGCACCCTGGTGCATGTCCCTGAAATAAATGAATAAATAAATACATAAATAAATTTTACTTAAAATGATACTGTGGGCTAGTGAGATGCCCAGTGGGTGAAGGTGCTTACTGCATAGCAAAGCGCTGATGATCAGAGTCTGATCCCCAGAATCCATAGAAAAATGGAAGGAGAGAACCAACTTCACAAAGCAGTCTTTTGATCTCAGCATGTGTGCCGTGGCCCCAGTGCCCCTCCCACTCACACATGCCCAATGTATTTTTTACATTGATACATTTCATTAATAAACATATGGACTCATTCTAAATAAAATAAAATATTTCAGAAGTATAGTATAGATAACGAAAGTTCCTTCTCCCTGCACAGCTGCCCCTGGATAACTAGTATTCTTAGAAGGCTTTCTTTAAAAGTACTTAAGATGAAATTTAGTTGTTCTACTTGCTGTGATCTGGGATCGGGGACAGGAGCATCTCATTGAATGGATTGTTTACTAGAGGACTTATAAATATTTGTTTGTATAGATTTTTCATCAGTTTTTGTCATGCTGGGCATGGAACCCAGGTCCTAATACATGCTGGGCAAGTGATTTACCTCTGATCCAGAGTCCCAGCCCTCAACATTTTTATGTACTGGGAATTGAGACTTTTTAAAGCTCTGGAAGTGTTTTCACAGGCCCTGCCAGGAATTTCCTTGGTTTTGATTATTTTTACAGCTGACCTTCACTCTCTGCTATATCTTTCCTTTGACATAATCCAATTGTCAGGATCCTAAACCGTTTTCCAGATTTACACTGGCGTTCCCTGGTGCAGTGTCCTCATCTGCAAAACTAAAAGGAACAGCTTTTGCTGCCTCGCCTGGAAATTCCAAGCATTGCTTAAAGGGTAGAGAAGTGTACATCATGTCTCTCACTGTGACATCTTAAAGCGATATGCCTACTTTTTAATGGACCACCCTAGGCCTTGCTTTCCCTTCCCTTAAGACTTTTCTTCGGATACTCAGGTTAAAGACTCAGGTTAGCAAACTCTGGCCCAACTTGTGCACTTAGTGTCTCCCTAGAAACATCTTGCTATTGAAGGCAGGAGTGACTTCACTATCCAGCTTCTGAGGCAAAGAGGGTCTAGGATCTGATGTGTGTAGGATAGCATCTCTCATGTAGCTCATTGTCATCACTTTCTTGTCTTCCTTGCTGTTGTTCCTGTCACTTCTATAATCTAGCCTAAACTAAGTAATCAGGACAATTCATTAACAATGTAACCCAAATCATGGTTCCCAGAAGGTATAAAAGCCTAGGTCACTACAGTAGTGTTGGTCCAACCTTGTCCCTAGATGACCTCACTCCTCATCACTCATTCCACTTTATACATACTGGTCCCTTGGCCTACCTAGCTGTCCAGCCATTGGCAATGTTCTTCTCAGATTTCAGCACTGCTATGTGCCTTGTGACCTTCAGGTCTGCTCTCTTGTGCACGTTGTAGCAGTGCCTTCCTGAGTCACCCAGGACAAAGGTGACTTCTATCCCTGCTGCCTCTACCCATCTCTTTGTCCTGCTTTACTCTTTGTTCTATTGTTTTTCTTTCCCTAATATCCTATACATTTACTTCTTTCTTTATTTCATTTTCGGCCTACATCTTACCTTTAAAATGTGAAAACCACAAGAACAAAGATGTTCTGCTTTGTTTATGCTTGTCAAATATATATAATGTCTGGGTGTGAGGGCTCTAATTTCCAGGACTTTGGGGAGTGAGTCAAAAGGATTGCCCATGAGCTCAAGGCCAGCCTGGGCTACAGAGTGTGACCCTGTCTCAAAAAAAAAAATCATGATTAAAACAAGATAAAAATGGGTGGGGGTAAATATTGTCAAAGTATATGACTTACTTGAAAGAAATTGTGTATATGCAATCTAATACCATGAACAATGACTATAAACCAACAAAAGTTCCAGAGTCAGAAAAGGACCATATTGTAAAATAAATATTATGAGGTAGTTGGTAAAATTGTACTAATCTTATTCATTGAGTATCTGCTAACCACTTGGGATGTATGCAGCAATATTGTCCACAGACTCTGCCCCTAAGACATTTTTAGGCTTATGTGTTTAACTTACAGTAACAGCATAAGACAGAGCAGGCAATCCAGATAAAGGTCTAAACATGAGGCTGTTGGAGCAATGAAGAAACAATTTGATTAACAGTATTCTAAGTTGAGGGAATTCCCTGAACAGGGTTGTGAAGATATGCAGATGGTTCTGATTAGTGGAAGGTTAGAGAACATGAGTTAAAGAATGTTTATAGGGAGTAGTAGGCAGAATGATTTTCCTTGAGAATAAAATACACAAGGCCTTTGAGCTAGAGCTCTATGAAGAGATGTGTCGCAAAGTCAAGCTGCTTTCTATTTTTCACTGATATGTTTAATCATTAATTTTAAAAGGTAGTTTACAAGTGTGGTGGTTTGAAAGAAAATGCCTCCCAAAGGGAGTGGCACTGTTAGGAGATGTGACCTTGTTGAAGCAGGTGTGATCTTGTTAGAGGAAAATGTCTGCGTGGAGGCAGGCTTTGAGTCTCTTTTGCTCAAGCTTCTCTCAGTGTGTCACTCAGTGTACTTCTTGTTGCCTGCTTATCTACATTTGGCAGCTTTTTTCCAGTGCCGTGCTTCCCACCGTAATGATAATGGACTAAACCTCTGAAACTGGAAGCTGCCACCTCAGTTAAATATTTTCCTTTGTAAGAGTTGCCATGGTCATGGTGTCACTTCACAGCAATAGACAACAAGACATTTGGATTACTTCAAAATCACTTCATAAAGAAGGATGACCTTGAATTATTAATTCTCCTGCCACTACCTCCTGTATACTGGAGTTGCAGGTGAAGTTAAGTCTTTGGCAACAGCACCCTTGGAAGAGAGATTAAAATAGTTCTTTAGGCATGCTGAATAGTTACTGTAACAGTGATTGTTATAAAGAGAGTAAGCCTGGCTCCTGATTCTCTGTGGTCTCCTATCTTACTGTACAATTTCTTCTTCATGTGGCCAATTCTCTTTCTGTTTTTCTTCCATATCATCATCTAGATGAGGAGGGCCTCACCAGAGGCCAAATATATAGGACCACACAATCTCAGCCATTCAGCTTCCGGAATTGTGAGATAAGGAATCCAATTTTTACAGGCACCTACCTATAAATATTTTGTTATAGTAACAGTGGACAAACTAATAAAGTGCTGGACTCCCCTCACAGAGAAATAGGAAAAAGGTGTGTCTGTGGGGGTTGGAAGGTGTTAGTAATGAAGATAATGAAAGGTTTGAATTTGGAGAAATGGAAAGAGAAAAACTGAAGATGAAATGTACAATGGCAATATAAAGGCAGTGGCTAATGAAGTATGAATGCTATTATACATCAGCATTACTCACAGACAGTGTATTAAGGGTGACGAGGCTATGGGAACAATGAAGGAGCTAGTGTTTGGGCTGCATATCAAGTCAGGGAACTAACAGATGGGCCCAGAAGGGAGGGAAGGATAAGTTAAGTTAAGTCGTAGCAATTGGGCAGAGAAAACAAGAGAACTCCTGTGGTCAGCTGAGCAGAGTGAGCTTTGCACCAGTGTCAAAGGTTAACTTGGTGTAAAGGAAGGTATTAGGTATTTTGTTAGGAAAGGTAGGTGAGCAATACAGTTTTGTTGATTTGAACTCTGTCCCACCCCAACTATTGCTAGCTCTGCCAAATCTACCTCGAATGCCACAAAAGGACATATTGTATTCAATGATTGTGAATGGATGCCTTTTTATTCATTTCTTTCCATGAATTCCTTGTTGATATGTAAGATTAGAAAATAAGGCTAGTCTTCAGGGAGGTTGAAAATGATTCATAGATGAAATGTGTATTCTGTAGACACAAACCTTCACTTTGCATTTTAAACCCCACTGCCATACAATGTCTTCAACTGTTTCATGAAGTTGAATCAGGAATGGAACTGAAGAACTTGGGTGATCTCTGTCTTCCCTTCTATTGGGGCAAAGGTGGAGTTATGTGGTCACTTGGGCAGTCAGTAATTCTGACAAATTCACACTCCTATCCTAGGAGGTGAGACACTCAACCTAATACTAATAGCATTTTTGTAATGTCACATAAGGGCAAAGCAAGCCGAGAGTCACATAATCTCCTCTGTGTGTGAGTGTTGTGCCAGGGAGTGCCACGCACTTTCCATCTCCTGAGATGCTCATTGATGGAAATGCTTAGTGCCAGGGTAATTTGTTCTAGATTCCACTGTGGGTCTTGGGTAAAGATTACTGTGATCAGAGGCACAGAAGCAGGCTGCTTGCTCCTGCCCTTGGAGAGGAAACAGATTTCAGGGAAGTGCTTAGGTCAGGTGGTGGTGATGCACACCTTTAATCCCAGCACTCAGGAGGCAGAGGCAGGCGGGTCTCTGTGAGTTCAAGCCCAGCCTGGTCTACAGAGTGAGTTCCAGGATAGCCAGGGCAATATAGAGAAACCCTGTGTCGAAAAACAAAAAAGAAAAACCAAAGCCACACCCCCCACACAAAAAATCATGGAAAAAAGAAAGGAAAAGGGCAAAAGAAAGAAAGATCTCTATGCCAGAAAAAAAAGTTGAAACAAGCATGATAAGAAAACAGTATTTTAAACAAATTTTATTTTCTCCAATTGATCCTGTTAAAGAGTTATTAAGTCAATTGGTGGGATGACTAGGTAAATGGATAACTAGGTTTGTATAAGCAGATTAAGAATCCACTCTCCCTCATATGAGACCCTGTCTCAAAAATAAAAATATTCCCTATTTTCCAGAATCTGGAGTAAAATCTTTTGTTTCATCCCTGTTACTGGTAATTTATTTTTTAAAATTAAATATCTCTGCCTCTCTGCTTCTCTCTCTCTCTCTCTCTCTCTCTCTCTCTCTCTCTCTCTCTCTCACTGTGTGTGTGCAAGCAAGCAGAGGTGAAAGGAAAACTTTGGGAGTCAGTTCTCTCCTTCTATATGATTGCTCACCTCAGTTTGTCGCTCAGGTGGCATGGGCCTTTACCCATTGAGCCATCTTATAGGTCCCTGATATTGCTAATTTGTTCTCGCTCTTTCTCTCTGTGTCTCACTCTTTTCACAGTCTTATTTGAGCTTTGATTATTTCATTGTTTTTTATAAAAATAATCTAAAACCATTAATATTTTTTTCTTTGACAATTTTTCATGCATGTTTGTAATGCATTTCAGTTTCTCCCATGTTCACAGTCTTATGTTTTCAAAGAACTAACTCTTTTTCCTTTGAGTTCAGTTATTCCAGCCATGAAGAAATCTCTAAAACATCCACGTCTTTGGTATATGATTTTCCTCAGTTCTACTTTGCATAGCTAACATTGTATTTCAATTGCATTATGCATTCCTTCAGCCTTTCCTGCCCTTGACTGTGTCTTAGCAGGCACTCCATTAGTGGAATGCACTTATCTTGGCTTGGCTTCTGATTGGTGACCACATCTTGTTGGTATCTTCCATCCACATACTAACCAGACTTGACCTTGCTTAGTTTCTGAAACTGAAGGCAATGGGGCATGTCCCATGTGTTGTATCTATAGACCTTGATTTTACATGTTCTTCACTTTTTGACACCATCTTGTTATGTAGCTCAGTTTAACTCCAATTCCTTAGGTATCATTAGCTAGTCTAAAAATTATGACAATCTTCCTGCCTCAGCCACATTAAGAGTAGGATTATAAGTGTGACCCACCACAATAGGCTCAAAAATGTTATTTTTATTAAGATAAGTTTAAAGAATAATTGAGCAAAAGCTTACTTTCTAATTAAAATCTTTACTGAAGTCTTGCATCAGCCCAGTGCTAGTCACCCAGCCCTTTAGTAGTTTTGTCTCTGGGAATCCTATTGATTGGGAGCAGAGCCTCCTTATCAAGTCATGCCTCAGCTTTGATATTGGGTCTGTCATTTCCTATCTGTATGACCTTAGGCAAAGTGCATTACATGCCTGGTTTTGTGTTGTCTCTCCTCTGTAAGATATGATCTCCATTTATCAGGGTGTTGTAAAGATAAAAAAATGTCTTCAAGGCTACTTAGTCCCAAATAAATATTAAGAGTATTTTGATACAATAAAAGTTAAAATCAATATTATATGGGGAATATTTATGAAACTATATTGTTCATACATACACATGCATAAAAGAATGAAAGGACGTAATGGTTACTCAGCATGAGGCTTAATTTAGATAATGGAAAAATCATTACAATTTATTTATGTCTCTGCATTTTTAATTCTTAGGGTTGTTTTGTAAAAGATTTACAAGTTGAAAATGATTATTTAAAAAATGAATATTAATATGTGATGGCATACTTTTACTTGGTCATGTGTATTCCATCATGCTTCAGAAAGGGTTCAAAGCAGTGTATGATATAGGAAGATAATGAAATACAAAGAAAAATGAAGAAAACCAGACAGTGCAGGCTGGAAAGATACTATGCAGTGTTGCTACTAAACATTTATAGCCAGGTGTGGTAATCCTCGCAATCTGGAGGCTGAAGCAAGAGGATCGGGAGTTCAAGGTTAGCTTGGGTTACATGGTGAAACCTTATCTCATAAATAGAAATATGATTGTTTTGTATTTTATTTTAATTAGAAGACTCTTCTAGGATACCCAATGGTTGTGAGTTATTGAGTAAGATGAACTCTGTAAAAGAAAGCCAGCATTTTCTAATGCAATATAATAACATTAAAATGATAAAGAAAACAGAGGAGCATTTTACAGAAGTTTTCAGCGAGTTGGAGATTCTGTTTATTTTATTGTTGGCACAGTAAGCAACCCCAAGAAAGGCATGGTTGGTATTATGTATTTTTCTATTTTTTTTTTTTTACTAATTTGTCAGTTACAAATACACTTTGGATTGCTTTGGTTTCACTTGCCAGTTTTGAATACATTGAGTGAAGACCCTAACTTCCATAAATAAACCCAAACTGAGAGTGTCACTCCTTCCTGGCTCTGCCATTGGTTAGCTATGTATTAACTCTTTGGACTGTTCCTCCCTTGAAAATTGAGAAGTCTGAACAAGAAGATTGGACTTTGACTTTCAGCAGTTCAGTGGTAGGTCCACCTACTTAAGGGAGGTACATTCTTTCCTCGTGGAATCTTTGTACAATGTCAGTTGTCTTATGCTATCCAATGTCCACTATGGAGTTATATGTTATTAACATTTTCCAAATGTCTTTTTCACAGAGAGACCTCTGTCCCCTAAAGCTGTCAAAGGATTTGACACTGCTCCACTTACCAAGAATTACTACACTGTGGTGAGTATTCAGAGGGCAAAATTGTTCTAACTCAACGTGGAGCTGTTTCACTTGTCCAATCACTGAATAAGGGAAAACAAGAGAAAGATGAGATAAAGTTGCTCTGTAAGGTTCCAAGGCCGTTTGCATAATGCTCATGTACTTGTGGGAATATTACAGGTATTTAGAGGATTCCCATCCACTGTACTGACTAACTAAAGAGCTGAGTAATGGTTAGGCCTACTAGCAGCACTGGAAGAGAAGATGGTTAACTTTTAGGCCCTGTGCTGAAATATTGTCAACTTGATTTTTGACAAACACCTAAATGGAAGACTGCCTTTTGACACAGAAGGGGAATCCAGTGGTTATGGCTTGAAAACAGATATGTCAAACTATATTAGCTATAAATAGGGTATGTGTAATAATCAAAATAAGCTCCTGCATCATTCTCCTTAATCTATTCTCTATTTCCCTTCATTTCCTTTCAAGCCTTGGCCTAGTCACTAATTAAAAGGTCAAGTCATCATTACCTCTAAGTTGCCTTGTCTGGTAGCCTCATGATCTCCTCCAACCTCTACTGAAATAGTTTTGACCCAGTGTTACATGTTCATTTGTACTGCGTGCTGTGTCATTATCTCTGCACTGGTATATGAGTGTCATTTGACTTCAGAATTTAAATTTAACTATCCAGTGAGATTACAAATGTTCCATACTGGTAATAGAAACAGTAAGTGATATGAAAAATCAAGAAGGATTTCACCTCATAGGTACCACGAGCAACAATAAGAGGAGGATTTTTGTCAATGGCTTTCCTCCTGTTTCTAGTGATAAAGAAATGCATGATTCAGCAGAAGTAGGCAGTATGTTCAGGCAAGAGGGGCATGCCTGCAATTAGTCAAGAGTGGCCCACAGTATGTTCTTCCCTCACTGAAATGTCTCTCAGAAGATCAGATTCTTTATTTCTTGCAATTTACTGCAAGTAGCACATCACATGAAAATGCTGTTGGTAAAACACATGATGGAAGTGACTCAAGGAAGGGTTCTTGGGATCACAGTAGGAAGGTGTAGTCCATCATGGAGGCAGCTCTCATCCCATCCAATCAGGAACTAGAGAGATGATTGGTGCTGCTCAGCCATTACTGCTTTGTTATTCAGTTAGGGTCTTCACCTCCTGGAAGGGTACCATCCCATTTGAGGTGTGTCTTTCCCCACCCCCAGTTTTAAGCCTCTCTGGAAACATGCTCCCAGACATGATCCGAAGTGTGACTGCCAGGTGTTTATAAGTTCAGTGCAGTTAACAGTGAAATTAATAATCACATTTTTTTTTAATGATGTGGCTTGAAGAACTGGCATGCACTAACAAAGTTGAGACAATGGCTGTAACGTGGCAAACCAAAAAGCCCACCACTGCTCTTATGAGCCTTGCTGTGGCCTTCCACTGGCTTACCTCATTTTCGCTCACTGCTCTCTCTACTCACTTCCTGAATTTTCTCGGCCTTTGGGAGCTTACCACTTCTTTAAAATTTAAGAGTGTGTGTGCGTGCATGTGCGTGTGTGTGTGTGTGTGTGTGTGTATGTGTATGTGTGTGTGGGAGAGAGTGTGTTTGAGAGTATATGAGAGCGTATGTGTGTGTGAGCGTATTTGTGATGTCTGGGTGGGCCATGTGGAGATCAGAGGGCAATGTTGTGGAGTCAGTTCTCTCCTTCCACTGTTTTTATTTGAGAATGTCGTGCATGCATATAATATGTTCTGGTCTACCTCTCAGTCCCTTCTTTCCGATTCCTCCTTATCTGCCCCAGTACTTCTCTCACCCAACCTCCATGTGGTCTCTATAAACCACAGAGCACAAGTTCATTTACTGCTCCTTTTATTCCCATGGGTGTGGGGCAATCTTCTGAAACATGGGTAGCCTCTCAGGACCCACTACCCTGAAAGAATGGACTCTACTTCTCTCAACAGCCCTAAATTGCTAATATATCTTCAGCTAAGGGTGGGACTTAATGATCCCTTCCTATAGCATGCTGGGGTTGGATCTGGATTGATCTTGTGCAGATCTCTCTCTGTACTTTTCCATGGGTTCTGGGCACAGAATTCAGGTTGTCTGACTTGTGTAACATGGGTTTTTACCTGTTGAGCTGTCTCGATGATTCTTACTACTCCACCATCACCCACCCCTCTTTGTGAGACAGCTTTGGCTGGCCTGGAGCTTACTATGAAGACTAGGCTAGCGTCAGACTCGTAGAGATCCACTTGTCTCCAGTGCTGGAATTAAAGAGGAACGCCACCATGCCCATCCTTACCTGTATAAGACTTTACACGAGGCTCCATGGAGCCTCTTCTCCATATTCCTCATTACTTTTTACCCTCCTTCCACTAATCTGTTCCATCTGAAGGCTGGTGGTTGAGGAAGTGGCCGGATTATGTGGAGCTGTTAAGTCTATGGTGTTGTACATGAGGTTGCTGGTGTATAAAAAGCCTGAGACTTGGGGGTGTGAAATCAATCGTACCCTTAGAGGTAGGTAGACAGTTACACCGGCGTGAAGTCAGATATGACACAAATACAGAAATATAGTGTCCTTTTTGCTCTCAAAGGATGCTTGCAACATGCTGACAGTGTTTTTTACAGACACCAGAATTATTGCCGACTCCTACAATGTAGTTTTGCTTTGCTTTAAGGTTTTCTGAGGTCACTATAGTCTTCTGTCATAGAATATGTATGTATGTATGTATGTATGTATGTATGTATGTATGTATGTATATCCTCTTAAAACAATTTCTTCACTCGTTTAGCTATTTTTGTTTTTGAGGCAAGGTCTTACTGTGTCTCAAGATGGCCTAAAATTCACCATATAGTTTAGGCCTGCCTTGAACTTGTGACCCTCCCACTTCAGCCTCCTGAGTACAGGAATTACCGGTGTGTTGTACCATACCTGACAATTTTCTTATACTTACATGGCTCCATCCTCTTAGAAAACTTAGTTCCAAAGTTGTTTTCACTCCAAAGCCTTTCCAGAAAATGTAGGACATTTATTTTATGGGAAAATAATAGTCCAGAGGAGAGATACAAGATTGCTACCTATTTTTCTGTGGCTTTGTGCCATCTGTTCCATTTTGAAATCAAGGAAAGGTTAGCTCAGAATATGGATGCTCAATGTCTTCATGGAGACAGAACTAGGGAGGCACAGGCAGTGTCTGGACATAGCCTATCTCAATAAGTTTGAAGGGATTCCCTCCCGATCCAATTGTACCGCACTAAGTTGGTTGATCTGCCAAGCTCCTTGCCTTCTGACTCACCACTGAGGCCTTCTGTTAGGGAGCACATAGCCTTCTCTGTCTGCTCTCCTCCTTCTCCTTTCATATTAGGCATCCTGTGCCCTGAGAAAGAACCAATCCCCATTCATCAGCTGCTCTGTTGAGTTTGATGAAAGTGAGGGAAGCCTGGGTGAGTTTGGGAAAGCATCCCAAGCATTCCCCAAAGAGCACTGTTGCCAGCATGCATTGCCAATCTCATGTGGTCTGAGAGGGAATAATATAATGAGAAAGCTTCTTTTCCTTTTGGTGTGCGTGTGTCCATGTGTATTTGTGTTTGTATATGTGCAGGTGCACTTATATGCACATGCGTGTGTGTGTGGATGCAAGGCGTCAACCTTGGGTGTCGTTCCTTAGGAGGCACCCATTTTATTTTTTGAGGCAGAATCTCTTACTGTAAACAGATGCAACCAGAGTAGACAAGCTGGCCAATGACCCACAGGGCTACACCTGCCATCACATCACCAGCACTGGGATGACAAGGATGTGCCACCACATACGACTTTGGGTGTAGATTGTATGGATCAAACTCAATTCCTCATGTTTGCATGACAGACATGTTAGGGAACCAGTTCTTTCCCTAGCCCTGACAAAGCTTTTGCCTCTAGTTTTATGAGCTCAACATCCTGCCACCTCTAGGGCTTGCAGTTTCTGAGTTTCCTTTCAGGAGTGCAGAGAGACTAGCTCAGTGCAGGAGCAACGGGCCTAGCGTTTGGGAGACCGAGCTCCATTTCCAGCACAGGGGTGGGGGTGGGGTGGGGGGTGGGGATGGGGGGGGTCCTTTCCTCCAGCTGGCTCCTCTGCTTCCTTTTTCTTTATTTGGGTAGGCATTGTGATTCAGGTGGTGTGACAGAGACAACAGTCCTTGAAGCAAAGATGAGGATGTGAAATGGCTCATTATCAGGCATGTTCCTTTTAGAGAAATGCACAGAAAGATGATTAGAAGTTTCATTCCTTCTTGAATTTGAGAGGGGAGGCATGATGCCACAGTTTGATTTTTTAATCCCGATACAACTATATTTGATGTGTATGAGTGGTATGCATGTATGTATGTATATATGTATGTATTATGTGCATCACATGCGTGCCTCCTACCTGCAGATGCTAGAAGAGGGCATTGAATCCTCTAGAATTGGAGTTATAGATAGTTTGAGCTACCTTATGGGTGCTTGGAACCAAACCTTGGTCCTCTGCAACAGCAGTAAGTGCTCTTAACCACTGAGCCTTCTTTCCCAGTCCCCAAATAGATGCTTTTAATAAAGCAATATTCAGGAGTCTTGCCTCCTCCTCAATAGTTAATAAAATACAATATTCATAAATTCTAGGGCATGCACCTTCATTTCTGTGAATACAAAAGAACACCAGAGTCGGGCATAAGCATAAATGTTTACCTGGGATGCTGCAGTGAGCACCACTCCAGCTGAGTAGAGGGATATGATAAACAAACTTGAGCTTCAAAACTCACCCAACATTCCATGAAGACTTGAGGTTACAGGACTCATAGTGTTTTTTTTTTATTACTAATAGTAACTTGTCTTTTGATAGTTTATTTTAGTATTTGTTTGTGTGTATGTATGCGTATGTGTGTGTGTATGTCTGTGTGTGTGTATATCTCTGTGTGTGTCTGTGTGTGTCGTGTGTGTGTCGTATGTGTGTGTGTGTCTGTTTGTATGTGTGTGTGTGTGTGTGTGTGTGCCCACCCATGCTGTGT